CACACCACACACACACACACACATATATATACGTGTGTGTGTGTGTGTGTGTGATGTGTTGTGTGTGTGTGTGTATGTGCCATCATCGTGTGTGTGTGTGTGTGTACGTGTGTGTGTGTGTGTGTGTGTGTGTGTGTATATATATTATATATATGTTTATGTGTGTATGTGTGTGTGTGTATGCGTGTTGTGCGCGCGCGTGCGTGCGTGCGTGCGTGCGTGCGTTCGTGCGTGCGTGTGTGTGCATAAATAAATATATATACTAATAATATATATATATATATATATATATATATATATATATATATATGTGTGTGTGTGTGTGTGTGTGTGTGTGTGTGTGTGTGTGTGTGTGTGTGTGTGTGTACAAAAAACATTGTGTTTATTAATTTCGTTCACATATCTCTTATCTATCTAAAAGAGTGTGCACGTGTATTCATTCGTGACTATGTACGTATTTAGCTTCCGTTATCACAAGACGTTAATCTCTTAAACATAGAGATATGTTAAAGATAAAAAAAAAATACCCTCTCCACCTTCCCTCTCCTATGTTTATATCTTAAATATCCTATGTCTATATGTTTCTTCGACTGTTCTGTTACCCTGATTTTAGAATGAGAGGTACACACACATACACACAAATAAACATACACACACATACACATAAACACGTAACATCACGCATACACACAAAACATACACACAAATACACACGCATAAACATACACACACACATACACACGCATAAACACACACCACACACCATACACACGCATAAACATACACACACATACACACACACATACATACACACACACATACACACGCATAAACAACACACACACACACATACACACGCATAAACATACACACACACACATACACACGCATAAACATACACACACATACACACGCATAAACATACACACACACATACACACACACATAACACACGCATAAACATACACACACACATACACACGCATAAACATACACACACACATACACACGCATAAACATACACACACACACACCCAAAACATACACACACACATACACAGGTATAAACATACACACACACACACACATACCCATAAACATACATATACACATAAACACGCATAAACATGTGTGTTTGTGTGTGTGTGCGCGCGCGCGCGTGTGTGTGTATTCACGCGTGCGTGTCCATCTGAGTGTTCCACATCTGTATTATACCATGTGTGTCAACCCGTGTACGTTCATGGTCGTCAAGCAGAACAGGTGAAAGTAAGCTATTTTAGTTCTTAATTACACTAACATTTCCACGAAGGCCACAAAAAATATAGATACAGATTTACTGACATGGATTTGCGCCATTTGTTGCTCTCTCTGATCCGGGATTCAGACATGACATGCTCTTGTTTTATCGTTATCTTTGCGCCATAAACATTAATCATTACTCCCGTTTTATCACTTTCTTTGGCCTTGTAAGCAAGATGAAAGTAAAATTAAATCAGGACTTTCATGGCGGTCAAATATAGAGCAATGTGTGTGTATGTATATGTATATGTATGCATATATGTATATGATATATTATATATATATATATATATATATATATATATATATATATATATATATAATATATATATATATATGTATATATATATATATATATATATATATATATATATATATATATATATATATATATATGTATATATACATTATATATATATATACATATATATATATTATATATATATATATATATATATATATAATATATATATATATATACATAACATAATTGCATAACAGTAGCGAGGAAGATGACGAAATGACTATAAAAAACAAACAAATATGACTCACTCACAGGATTAAAAATGGAGAATGTTCAAACAGAACAAATGTTTTTTTTTAAAATCAACTAGATCCGTTATCCCCTAAAGGCGGGAGAAAGAACAGATAAAGTATAAGAACACGATAATATATTTAATCCAACGGCTTAAGAGACGGATCTTGGTGTGTCCTGAAACTGGACTTCCTTGACTTTCTTAAGAAATCTCGGCTTTTCGATCTTGAACTCGTTCCTGATCTTTGGAACGGAGGTATGGAATTGAGGATGACAGGGGGAGGGGAGAGGGGGAAAGGGGAGGGAAAGGGAGATAACTTCAATGCAGTTGTAAGATTGTAAGTCCTCAACAAGTTCAAGACATGTCCCCTGATAACGCCGCCGTGGCCTGTTATATAAGGCGCTTTCGGACCCTTCTCTAGCATATATATATTATATATATATATATATATATATATATATATATATATATATATATATATATATATATATATATATATATATATATATATACACGGGAGAGAAAAAATCGAATAAGTAGGTATTATGAAATTGTTACAAGGAATATAAAAAAAACAAAGATATCTTTCTTTCAAAGAGAACCCCATTGATAAGATAAGGCTGATAGTTAATAAAGCAACAACGTGCAGGGTAGCGAGGGTAGCAGTCACATGTCATATCACTACGTTCTTAGCAGAAAGGGTAGCAGTAGTTGAAGATGAAGGGAAACAGAATGGTTAATGGTTAAAAAAAAAGCGAGAGAAATTTACTAGACATCCACAGGAAACAAGAATAAGGAGAGTAGTTGTAATAAGTAAAATTTCCGTTAACATTTTCATTATTATTTTCACTATTTACATCACAATTTTGCTTTGGATTCGTTCGAGCGTCCAGCGTTGCGTTCAACACTGTATTCCAAAATCATATCTAATGTGACAACGGAGATGAAATCGCTTAATGTTGATGTGGAATAATGTGATGATCGATACCATGATTATTAAATGACAGTGACATACATATATATACAAGATGTATACACATGCATGGACACACGATAAGGCTTCATATTATGAATCTATTAGAATCCAATTCTAGTTTTCCAATTACCACTATTATCATTTTCATTAAAAAAATTATTATCATCATTTTTACAATCATTAATATTAGTTATCATTATTCATTACTGTTATCATTATTCTTTTCATCATTATCGTTATTATCGTTTCTCTCATAATTTGTGTTATTGTTACTATCATTATGCATATCTTAACTCCACTCATAATTCATTTGTTCGCACATTAAGTTTAAAATCATATATGAAACTCGTGGAAACCTATCCGATCTCTAATACCTATCATCCCTCTATCATTACCATTATTATCATCATTGTCATTAATACCACCATTATTATCACATCATAAGTCTCATTACCATCATATAATTCACGTGCACATTAATGACACCCACATCCACACAAGCGCGCATTAGAGTATCCAATTCCGTTTCTTTTAAAATCCTGTTTTCATTCTAATGGGATAATCATTCTTATCATTGTCATTTTTATCATAATTCTGCTTATATTTCGTTCGTTGATCCTTCTATTTACATGATCGGAACTCGTATAATTTCCTGTAACAACTAAAACCTTTATTATCATTAATATCAATGCTTCTATAATTCTTATCGTTATCACTGTTGTTGAATTGATCTTTTTATCATCATTATTATCATGTTGCAGAGTCGCTTCACTTTTTACGTAAATTGGGCCTGAAATGATACAGTAAATGGCTATTAACTTGATGTCTCTTCATTTCGGTGTAAAATAGGATAATACAAACAGACATAAATACCCATCTTGCAAATGTATCACAATCCTATTCATTTTATCTTATTACCTTTATCAATATCTTGATTATTCTTCCTGTTATCGTTATTACTATTATCAACATCATTAATATTTTCATTTTCTTATCATATTTATGTTTGTCATTCTTCTCCAAGGCAAGTAAAGGAGTTGGGGAAGTTAAGGAAGAAGAGTGAATAGAGGAAGATTTGGTAGTAATATGGGTGGAAGAGGGAAAGGTAGAGATAAAGGAAGAGAGGAGGCGGGAGCTAGCAGAGAGAGAGAGAGAGAGAGAGAGAGAGAGAGAGAGAGAGAGAAGAGAGAGAGAGAGAGAGAGAGAGAGAGAGAGAGAGAGAGAGAGAGAGAGAGAGAGAGAGAGAGAGAGAGAGAGAGAGAGGAGAGAGAGAGAGAGAGAGAGAGAGAGAGAGAGAGAGAGAGAGAGAGAGAGAGAGAGAGAGAGAGAGAGAGAGAGAGAGAGAGGAGAGAGAGAGAGAGAGAGAGAGAGAGAGAGAGAGAGAGAGAGAGAGAGAGAGAGAGAGAGAGTAAGTACCTCCTTATTTCGTGGAATTTCAGTCTTGCTAGCTATCATCATTATCCTAACTATCATGTTCCTTCTTCTTATCAATATTAATTACAATTACTGATATTTTTGGCATCGTCGCTATTATCATTATCATCAATCATCATCATTTTACGAGGGATGTTGAAAGTGCTAATGATAATAGTACCTCCAGTGCTACTAGGGCAGTAACTGTAGTAATGGTAAGAGTGATGTTGACAGCAATTATGCAACATTACCATCGTTCTTGTCATTGCAATGATGTAAGCGATTGACTCATAATTACATTACAACAGTAGCAGCGAAGATGACGAAATGACTATAAAAAATAAACAAACAAAATATGATTCACTCACAGGATATACGAGATAATACTCGAACAGAACAAAACGTTATTTAAAATCAACGAGGTCCGGTATTACACTAAGACGGAGGAGCGGATAAGAAACACGATAAATATTTGATCCAACAGCTTAAGAGACAGATCTTGGTGTGTTGCCGAAACTGGAGTTTTTTGACGTATATGTATATTTCCTAACAAATCTCGGTCTTTTCGATTTTGAGCTCGTTCCTGACCTCTGAATCGTAGTTATGGAAGTGAGGATGACAGGGGGAGGGAAGGGGGAGAGGGAGAAAGGGGAGGGGAAAGGGAAAATAACTTCGATGGAATTGAAAGATACAAATCATCAACAAGTTCAAGACATGTCCCCTGATAACGCCGACGTGGGTGGTATATAAGGCGCATTCGAACCCTTCTCTGGCAGTCGAGCGGAAGCACGACCTCCCAACGAACGTCTGCGGAGGAGCGAGGCGCACGACCTTCACGTCCAACGACGCGACCAGCCACTTGCCTTCCACACGGCCGCCAGCAGACATGGGCGACATCACTCGCGCCGTCGGCCGCTCGGGCCGCAGGGCGAAGCCCAAAGCCCAGGACTCGCTCACGGCCCTCATCTGCCAGAAACTCAGGGAAAGCGGACAGGACGACGAGTTCCTGCAGAGCGTCATGGCCGCTCTGCACGACCTCGGGGAGGAGCTGCGCAGGTGTCCCTCCCGCAAGGCGTCCGTCAAGCTGGTCCGCCGCACGCTGTCGAGGGCGCTCGCCGAGGGGAGGAGGGACCAGGACGCGGCGGGGGGCGCGCAGGACCACCAAGGAGCGAGGCCGGAGGGACTCGTCGCCGCGGTCGGCCAGCTGCTGCAGGAGGAGCTCCAGGGAGAGGAGTTGGAGGGAAGAGATCTAGAACCGGAGGAAGCAAAGGAAGAAGAGGCACAGAGAGTAAATGAGGCAGAAGACGGACTCGAGTGCGGAGAGGACGTTCCCGATCACAGGGGGACGACAGGACCACGACCTCGGAAAGACGACCAAGACAACACTTCAGGAGGACAGCAGTTGAAGGAAGATAGCAACGACGCTCTTCCTCCGATGATCATTAGCGAAAATAAGATGATCGACGACACAGGCAAGTCAGACGCTCTGCCATCTCTCTTCATCTATGTATGTCTCTATCTCCCTCCTCTTCTCTTTCCATCTCTCTTCTCTTCTCATACTCTGTTAATGCATGAAAAATCTTCTTCCACATTCGTAATTCCTTCCGACATTCTACAGGAGGAAACCCCCAGGAGGCGACCCTCCACGGCGTTCAGATCGAGAGGCTCTTCCCTCAGAGAAGGAACTCCCTTTCGCACTTCTACGGGGAGGAAGACCGGGAGATCACGTCCGTCAGACTCGTCATGGAGAGAAGTGAGTTGCTCTTACGACTTGCCAGTTTCAGTTCGCTTGTTATATGCATGAGGGTTTTTTTGGTGTTGCTTTAAGGTTAACGCTCCCTTTTTTCTTTCTTTCTTTCCAGTATTACATCTGCCATGTTAATAGTTTACACTGAATGATACACACAAAGAATAACCACTTATGAACATAGTGAGATAATGATAAAAGGATAAGGTAAAGAGATCCTTCATTTAAACAGACAAGTGCGCTCTCTACAAACTCGAAGGCGAAGTTCACACCAAGCTGGGAGTCTTCCACGCCGACCACTTGAAAAAGCTCAAGAACGGCTTCAAAGTGACCTTGGAGACCCAGATGACCTCAGATGACGTCGACGGGGGCAGGCGACCCAAGAAGAAAACCAAGAGGCAGAGAGAGGCGTCTTCGGTGATACTGACGGTTCCACAGGAGCAGCAGGAGGAGTGCATGAACCTCTTATCTCGGGTGAGTCATTCACGGTTCTTTTTATATCTCGTTTATTCATGAGTAGGCTTGTACTAAATACTTTTTCTAGGTGTCTATATATTAACTCAATATCTACGTAATCACTAGCTCCCTCCTCTCTAGGTAATCTATTTTTTCGTTTTCGTAGTGCAATTATTGTTATTGTTATTAATAACGTTGGAGCTCTTGTTCTTGTTCTTGTTACTATATTATTGACGTCCGTATCAGTCGTCGTGATCTTTTATTTTCCATTTTTAATCATCTATTTATTCAACTTTTTTTTACAGATGCGAAAGACATTGCCTGGAATCCTCTTCGGATCTTCAGGATTTTGACCTCAAGAAAATCGTGCACATCCGATTCATTACAAAACGTGTTTAAGAAACCACCACCTTCATGTGTTTTCTCATATTGCTTGTATATATTTGCCATATATATTTACATGGTCCTTGTATTTCGTATATTCCATGTCTTCGGATGACCTATTCTGAGGTTCTGACCCACTTTGACCCCATAAAACTCGCCTAAACACTTTAAAAACTGTTTAAATATATCAATAAAGATTATATTCTCACTTTGCTAGAATAAATATGAAAAGATGGACCTTGTCTTTTGTTGTATATTGTATTAGTGCTTGGTAGTTAGATTGCCATAATTTTCCTTAATCTGTATCATAATCCTCGATTTTTCCCTTTATTGTGTACATATTTATTTCAATTAACATTTGTATATATTGTAAATAAAGTTTTTTTCAAATAACATTTGTATATACTGCACATTTGTTGTATATTCCTTTATAAATACATCATAAAAATATATCATTGATATCTAAATGAAATGAAAGGTATACGTGTTACTTAAATACCAAATAATAAATAATATATAATAAATAATAAATAATAAAAAATAAATAAATATTAAATGTGTGTGTGTGTGTGTGTGTGTGTGTGTGTGTGTGTGTGTGTGTGTGTGTGTGTGTGTGTGTGTGTGTGTGTGTGTGTGTGTGTGTGTGTGTGTGTGT